TTCGACCATAAGGACATATATAAGTAACGTTGATATCCCCAGATGGGCAGAGGTAAAACCAAATCGATTAATCGATTAATAAAATATAAACATGTCAGAGCTATCAAAGATTGCAGAAGTTATAGAGGTGCAGATGCCAGTAGTGATTATATATTAGTAATAGCCAAACTTAAACTACATAACCAAACTAAATCTACCTATAAAACTAAATGTTTTAAAAGACAGAAAGAGATATAGCGTGGCCTTACTTAAGGACCAATAAGCGGCGAAGAGGTTAGAACATTAGATTAACGCAAGATTAGAGGAAAGACAACTAAATGTTGATAGATAGAAAAAGAATAAAGTACTTAGAATACATATATATATATATAAATAAGAGCACTTATACTAAGAAAAGCAAAGTTGAAAAAAGATAAATAATAGAACCAAAGAAACAATTACAGAACATGAGACGAAAAAGAAAAAAGTAGAAAGAATTTGCAGGCAAAAAAGAGAGAATATTTGGAAAGAACTTTAAAAAAATAGAGGAGATTTACATTAGCAAATGAAAAAAATTCTTTTAGGAAGTGAAGAGAAATAGACAAAAAAGTAACTCATAAACAATTTTTTGTAGGAGTAAAGAAGGACTGCTACTTGGAAACACTGCAGAGAAATTAAGCAGATCGGCATAATATTTTGAAGAACTGCTAAATAATAAAGAACAAATGCAAATAGATCAGCACAAAAAATCCAATAGAACAGGAAATAAAGGAAACAATAAAATGGGGAGAATGGAATCCCGACGGAAATTTTAAAGGAAGAAGGGGTCACACTGCAAAGGAAGCTATGTAATTTGATACTGAGAGTGTGGAGAGAGGAGAAAATGTCAGAGAGATGAAGTAATGCCGTAATTTGCCAAATACATAAGAAAATTGACAGAACCCGTTGTGAAAATTATAGAAAGGATAGCGCTACTGGATGTTGTGTACAAAATATTAGCAAAGATAATACGTAATAGATTGAAGAAATACGAGAACGGCATAGTAGGTGAATACCAAGCAGAGTTTAGAGAAGGAAAACAACAGTGGATCAAATATTTAGCTTAAAATTGATACAAAATAAGTTACGAAGAAAACCAAGGACTCCACCTGCTCTTCGTTGATTTTAAACATGCGTATGACTCTATCGATCGGAAAAAGTTGTAGAAAGCTCTATAAAATTTAGGAATATCAAAAAAGTTAATAAAATTATTGAAAATTTCGCTAACAAGTACTAACAATAGAGTGGTCATAAAAGGAAGTATGTCAAATCTGTTTTCGGTTACAAGAGGATTAAGACAAGGCGACCCACTTTCTACTGACCTGTTTAACGTTGTCTTGGAGGCAATAATGAGAAAAAGTAAGATCCAAACTACGGGTACTATTTTTCACTATAAACAGCAATGCATAGCGTACGCAGATGATGTAGTCTGTAGTTCTCTATGTAGTAACACAAACAAAAAATGAAATTGAACAATGTTTAAGAACTTTAAAGATGAAGCAAGAAAATTTGGGTTGTATATAAATGAAGCAAAAACAAAGTATATGGAAAGGCGTGGTGAGATAACAGAAACACAATAAATGTTCGTCAAACTTAAAACTAGAGGAAATGATTGCAAATTTGAAAATGTCAGCCAGTTTGAGTATTTGGGTAACAATAACAATAAATGAAGAAGTAATGAAGATGTATGGAAAACCCTTTACTGTACAAAAGGTCAAGTGGTTAGGTCACATCACTCGAATGCCATGGAAACGTTGTGTAGAAAAGGTGCTTTTTGGACAAGGTGGGAGGCAGGAGAGGGGTGGTAAAATGAGGAGAGGAAGACCACGGAAAAAGTGGTTAGAAGCAGTTAAAGGTGATTTAAATGGTATACGAGTGCAGAATTGGAGAGAGGAGAGCAAACGACCACTACATAAAAAAGCAGATATTATATCGGAGTGTCAAAATTATAGAGGTATAACATTGTTAAATATAGAATTTGTATAGAAGTTATATGATATGGGAATTATCTTTAATCTCTTTCAGTATTGACCCTCTAGAGTATAGTGCGTCGTGATATAATTATAGTTACAGAATCATAAACAATCAGAATGCCCACTCTGCTTAAAAAAATAAGTACGCGTATCTCGGTCGCGCAGACGGAATCAGCCATGTTTTAAACGGAACCAGTGCTCTTCAGTCTCATTTTATCTGGTGTGCATAGACAAATTAACCCGGTTAATTTATTTACAGCAACTATAGACATAATATGCAGTATTTTATTCGTATTTTTAGTTGAAGAATATATTAAATTATTTTAAATGTACTAAATTATTAATCTAATAACTTAAATTACCGTTCTGTCGTAGCTTGTCACAAATTTCTCAATTCGAGTCTATGTTTCCGTCTAAAACATTACGTTCGCGTGCTGAGAAACTTCAAAGGCGGCATCTGAGAGTGGGCATTCTGATTGTTTATTATTCTATGATCAGTCCTTATCTCCATCTTTTATAAATCAACTGTTATCAAAGCAAATGATGACATACGTTATGCCCTTCTTTTCAGCTTCCGCAGAACATATGAGCCGCGTAATGTACAATGGGAAAACCAAATAAGGACGTCGATTCAAATTGTATAATAAAATATTTCACCTTTAAGAAATACTAAACTGTCAATTAGAGCAAATAACAATTTCAATCAAAAATTGATTACTTATTTTTTAAATTTATATACATACCCCTTTGGGCGAACAGCACGGACTACAGCAAGGGAAGCAACATGGGTAGTACACGCATGGGACGCAACAGGGATAACAAGGTACACAGCAAGGGGAGCAGCAGGGTGAACAACAAGGTGGGCAGCAACTCATTTTGGATCTTTATGTAGGTATTTTTGGAATTCTCGAAGAATTTTTTTCGAGGTGAAATCACTTAAAATTTTGAATGATTACCGAAAATTATGAATAAGATTTGATGTTTATGTCGTCGTCAAAGATACTGTTTTTTTTTTTTGTTTTTGATTGCTTGATAGTCGATATTTAAAATGTCAAACAAAACAAAATGTTGCCCTTAAACACTAATGCTCTATTCTACTAATCGATTAAAGCTAATATTATTGACATAATTTAAAACTGGTGACGAATAATGTGGAATAAATATTTGTAGATTCAAAGTTAATTTATTACAAATACTTTAAAAGCTTTTGTAGTTTGCAAACGGCATTATTTATTATGTCGATAGTACTTTCCAATAGTAATCTACTAAACATTACTGTTTTATCTAATTCTTCTTTTTTTGTCTAACTCATAGACACTTTTGATTTGTTGGCCTTTATTTTAATGACAGCAGTACTGGATTGTGTCGTTATGTCTTCTTCTCTTCTTGTTCTTTTTGGCAATGTCGTTATGTCGTGATGTGTCCGTACGATTAAATGTTTTTAATTAATTGTCAATAAATTGAGATGTTAACAATGTTAACCCTTAACTGGTGACGTGCCACAGTTGTCATACAACTGGTGACGTGCCGTCAATTTGACACCGCCATCAAATTATTATTAAGAAATTGCGAATGTCTTTATTTATTAATTACTAACGTATATAGCGTCAACAAAAGTATAGCATCAACCTAAGGCTGATGATATAATCATTAATTCACGGTAGGTGTTTGTTTAGAAAAATGTTAAGGATCAGCTAGAGAAAAGAGCTCGATTAGTGGCCAGGGGCTATCAACAGCTAGTATTAGACAACAAAGACGTCTATACATCAGTACAGTTGCTAGATTAAACACCCTGAGGGTATTGTTAACCACTGACATAGATCGTGATATGAATATTTATCAACTTGATGTAAAAAGTGATTTTTTTAAAATGTCCAGTGTCTAGTGATGTGTTTGGGTAACAGCTTTATAAGGTTTACAAGAAAGTAGTTGGTAGTCGAAGTTGTGGGAAGACAACTAATAATAATTATTTAGTAAGTTGCACGTTTGAAATGTCAGTTTATTGTATGTATCAATAAATAATCTCTAATAAATAGTTTGGACATATCCTTATGTCAAAAGAAAAGGCAAAAAAGTATTTTTGAAGTGTGTATATTTTTTAATAATTCCTAGCTGAGCGCTTTCGGCTTTACAAAGCCATCATCGGAGCTATGGTCAATTTATAAATACCACTACAATGGAGAGATCTCATTTCCTCTCTCAGGAGGTAGACAGAATACCTCACAGCAAACAATGGTCGGGTTCTTACACCCGTACCATGACAAAAATTTTTTAATGTGTCTGTGAAGTCCAATGTCGGTTTTTTGTATGTTTTTTTAAGAATTTTAACAACTAAGTAATTTTAAAAAAATCAAAATTTCAACAAATAAGAAATGAGATCTCTCCATTGTAGTGGTATTTATAAATTGACCATAGCTCCGATGATGGCTTTGTAAAGCCGAAAGCGCTCAGCTAGGAATTATTAAAAAATATACACACTTCAAAAATATTTTTTTGCCTTTTCTTTTGACTTGTCATAAGTGTGTACAAAAAACATATCAGTCTTTTGAATATCCTTATGTGTTTATACACCTCTTAACTTATTTTCGTCTAGTAATTTCATCACAGAATGCATACAAATCCCATTTAACTTTAACAAGAATTCAAATTCTACTCTACAATGACGGCATGCGCGAACACGACCGATTTTGTGCTACGAGAAGATCCTATCTTGTTAGTCATAGTATCATGGGGTAGACCATGATGTCTCACTTGTCACTTATCAACGGTCTCTGTACACTTGTTAAACAATAAAACATTTCTCTTTTAATTAAGTTTAATAATACTGTTATTATTATTAACCTGTGTAAACACAATGTGTAATTTTTACCTTTTGGAAGAAAAGTCAAAAAGAAGCATTGTATTGGCTGACCACTACAAGACATATGACCATAAACATCGAGAAAAAGAAGTAGAAATTTGTTGTTATGTAAAGAATAATTTACGTTCCTAGGCAATATTATTTACAAATTATAAGTGACATAAAAAGCAGATACTTATATCAAAATTTTTTGTAGTCGAAAATTTGTTAGAAAAAAATATATCAATGGCATGTTCGTCTTGCTCACCTCCAGGTTGCCAACCTTCCCCACCATGTCCACCTTCGGGTGACTGTGCAGGTTCGGATACGACGGGTATCGCCTATTGTCAAGGATGTTATCCTACATTTTGCTGTGTTCCTGTCTCAGTTTGTCCCGCTTGTCCATGTGAACCGTGTCCTTGTCAGCCAGTTCCAGTTCCATGTATTCCTCAAGCTGCAGTCTTGACACCCGTTATTACACCCATGCCATGCTGTCCTTGTCCTCCTAATTGTCCACCAAATTCCCAACGTGGATGTCCACCGACACGTTGTTAAATAAAGTCAGTTAAATCTGGTGATTTTATAAAATATGTATCGTCAAAGTATAAATAAAAAATTAAAAATAAATAATTGTATTGTAATTATTATTTTTTATTGTAATATTGTTTTAATTGTAATTTGACTTGAAATCATTAATATAAATCTCTTTAGCAAAGGAAAATGAGAATATCTATATATAATAACTAATAACTAATGTATATAATCTCAGTTTTCTTAATGGCTAGGGCATGCCTGCCTTGGATGTGACTGCACGTTGAGAAGGCGGCTCCTATCATACAGTCGTCTACAGTCCAACAATAACAGCAATCACAAGAGAGCTAAAATACCAAGAGCTCCACTTGTTGAAGGTGCTGCGTTAGAACATCGGCCGGTGCTCTCCCGAGCGAAGGTCTCCTTGATAATACCAAAATGTTTGTTTTGGTGATCATCTTAATGTGCAAAAAATAAGAAAAATTTTTGGGAAATATTCTAGCAAACCTGGTCATTCATCTAGAACGCGGTAACATGGAAAAAGTTTTCCTGAGATCGGTAAATCTCTTGGATACTCTATGTATTAAAAGGATGTCAGTCGTATGGTTTAAGTATAAGAGTTCTTTTTTTCTTGGGTGCATATATGTGAGGAATGTTGATCATTATGACAATCTTATTCTTTCCTGTTCTTTCTTCAGGGAAGAAATGGAAGAAAGAAGAGAAATGCTAAAAGAGAAGAGTATAGAACAACAAAGCATAAATAAAATCAACAAAGAGGTCTCAAAAGCAATTAGAAAGGACATAAGGGCATATAAAAAATGAGAAAAATCTCGCAGACAATCGAGCACAACAAGAGCATGAAGATATTAAGAAGGAAATTGACGAACAGCAGAAAAGAAATCATCAGACTTAAGGGAAAGAATGGCAAACTAACGTCCAACAGAGACGAAATGCTAGAGATAGTAGAAGACTTCTATAAAACACTATACACAAATAAATTGGACTTAAACCCGACAGAACAACAGAACAAAAAATTATGAATCAAGGTTCAGAAGATATTCCCGACATATCAACGGCTGAAATTTACCATGCTCTAAAGAAAATGAAAAAAAAAAACAAAGCACCAGGAGAAGATGGTGTAGTGGCGGATGCTCTCATCAGGACAATCAAGCAGCTCTTCAATATATGCTTAGAAAACCAAGCAATACCAGCTGAATGGAATAATTCTATAAACGCTCCTCATGCATAAGAAAGGAGATCAAACAGACCTCGAAAACTATAGGCCAATCAGTCTTCTAAGTCACCTGTATAAATTATTTGCTCGAATTATCACTGCCAGAATTGAGAACAAACTAGAAACATGCCAACCAAGAGAACAGGCAGGTTTCTCGCCCTGGGTATGGTACAAATGACCATCTAACTTGTCTAAAGGCCCTAATTGAAAAAACTATAGAGTACAACCGGCCACTAGTTCTAGTATTTGTTGACTATAAAAAAGCCTTTGACACTATCGAGATGGTAGCTATCTGAAGAGCTTTGAGAGATTGTAGAATCGACTACCGATATACCAGCATTATTCAACATATATATGCAAATACCACAACAGCAATAAACCTCCACACCCCTACTCAAAAAATAAAACTAAAAAGGGGAGTTAGACAAGGAGACAACATGTCACCAAAACTATTCAATGCCGTAATGCAGCATGCATTCCAGATGTTAGAATGGGAATACAGAGGTTTGAGTGTCGATGGCGAAAGGCTGAACCACCTACGATTTGCAGATGACATAGTTCTAATACCCGACGACTTAAATGAGGCCAACGAAATGCTACAAGATTTACAACGAGTCTCCCAAAAAGTAGGGCTGGAAATAAACTTTGGCGAAAACTAAAATGATGACCAACTTAGTACCTAGTGGACCATTGAAACTAGAAAACTGGCATATTGAAACGGTTGACATATACATATATCTGGGCCACGAAATACAAATAAGTAGAGACAACCAAACATGCGAATTATCTAGAAGAATAGCTTTAGGATGGGCAGCCTATGGCAAGCTAAAAGACGTGTTTAAGGAAAACAATCCCAATAAAGCTAAAGAGAAAAGCATTTAACCAGTGCGTACTTCCGGTGCTCATTTATGGAGCTGAAACACTGACATTGACTAAAGCATCAATAAAAAAGTTACAAGTAGCACAACGAAAAATGGAAAGATCTATGCTTGGCGTAACTTTGAGAGACCGAATACGAAATGATGAGATACGGCGAAGAACTGTAGTGGAAGACGTCATAAAACGGATTACGAAGTTGAAGTGGAAATGGTCAGGACACGTCGCAAGACAGAGAGACAACAGATGGACAAAGAAGATTTGAGAATGGCGGCCAAGGGCAGACAAGCGAAATCGTGGAAGACCACCTACCAGATGGACGGACGACATTAAAAGAATAGTGACAAACTGGATCGCAGCTGCACAGGACAGAGAAGAGTGGAGACATCTTGAGGAGGCCTATGTTCGACAGTGACAAATTTGGCTGTGTGATGATGATGAATCTTCCCTGCAGCATCAAGAAAAAGCTGCATGGATGTTATGCTGAACTAGGTTCAGAAGTTCTTTAACCAGGATGTTGTTCTTCTTCCTTCATTTTGCATTATTCATTAATTTTTCATAATGTGTTCGAAGTACTATAGGTCTCTAGAATTAATGGTGACAGGTAGCTCTTGGTTCTTTATTCTTCGGAAAACCTCCTCATTTATGATTGGGTCAGTTCACGAAATCTTACGTATTCTGCGATGTTAAAGTTCGATATATTTTTAAAAAGGCGGTAAAATATTTGCGATTAATAAATTTTTTATTAGTTGGTAATTTTGCTTTAACATCAGATCCAATATGTCTGAATTGTCCAACGTCATCATGATGGTTAATATATTGTTTTACAATTTAATTTGTTCTAATTACTCTTAATATATTTCATAATAATAAAGTTGTGCAGTGAACTATACTGTGTTTATAAACTATATTTAGAAATCTTCAGATTTAACAATAGCCATATCATAAATGCTTCCAATCTTCTGCAAATATCCTCGTTCAAGGTATACGATTTAACACCATAAAAAAAGAAGAATACATAATATCGCAACACTTTTATACCAAGAGAGAGGTTGTGATTCTTAAAGACGACCATCATCTGGTTGGAGATAGATCTAGCTTTTCTGATGGGAGCTGTTATCTCCTGGTTGTTGTTTCACTCTTCATTTATTATGGTGCCAAGATAGTTGTAGTACATCACTCTTTCTACTGGGATGTGGTTGACGTAGAGCTGACCTTCTGTTATCCTTTTCTTGTTAATTATCATAAGCTTTGTATTTTCTACTTATATTGGGTCTATATTTTTGACTGTAATACGTGATTTTCTTCATAAGGAGTAAAATGTGCTCTGCTGTTTCTTACACTAGGTGAAAAAATCTACATGGATCCATCATCTGCCAATAGTATCAGCTTTAATTGCTTATTCAGCTCACAGTGTCCTGTAAGCAGACCTACTATAGCTTTGACTGCTTTTCTGTCTTTGCTATTAGGTCTGCTGTAACATTCTTCATATTTATTGGCTCCAGGTTTTTTGAAAGTGCAAAAAACTCAACTGCTGCAATAATTATGGTCAGTCATTTACCTCCTCACCTAGCTTAAAGGTGTTATCTCTTTGGTATTCAAACAGTCTTTTTAGGTATTCTTTCCACGTTCTTATTTTACTTTGTTTATTCAAATGATTTTTCCGTTAGAATTTAGTTATATTTCTTTTCTGTCTTAGTCTTGATCCACCGATGAGTTCTTTTCCATGTATATTGTCACTATCATGCTTTAACTGTAGAGTCTCAATTTATTCGCATCTCTTCATTATTATTTTTTCATTAATCTGATTTTTCTTCTTTATATCTGTATGAGTCATATTTGGCTTTTCTTCTTTCGTGCATCAGAACAAAGAAATCCAAATATTACGTTCTGCAGTAGACGCCGCATTAATCGCCGAGACAAAAGACGAGCTCCAAAGATTTTGGAGAGAAAGAGTTTCCATCTCTCTATGTTGTCCCATTCTATATCTCCCTTACTCATGGCGTTGTCTACTTCGTTCCTCCAGGATCTTCGGGGTCGTCCTCCTTTCCTCCTTTCTACTTCCTATGGGGCTCCATTCAATTATTCTCTTTATCCATCTGCTGTGGCTAGTTCTTCTTACATGTCCATACCCGAGTTTTTTTTGTCGGATTCCATAACCCTCGTTTGGAGGACCTTTTCTTCAGCCGCCTATTCTGGATCAGACACTGTTGGTTCTTCCGCCCTCTCGACCATTGTGACTTTTCCAACCATCCTCTGCTCTTAACACCTTTGATCGGTTTTCACCTGTACCCCAGGCAGGTACCCTCACATGGTGCTATCAGCCGGGTCATCTGAACCCTGGTCTTTTAGAAGTGTTACTCCTCTGTCACTCCTCTTTTATCTGGGCTTGGGACCGGCTGCATCGGTTATAGAGCTACTCAATTCACCCCATAAGATACAGCCAAAGATCCAAGAAATACAATATAATAATATCAGCAGAGAAAACCAAATGTATGACAACATCTAAATACCCACTACCATGTGAAATCGAAATTGATGGGAAAATAATAAAGCAGGAAGCCAGGTTTAAATATCTGGGAATAGATATAACTAGTTACGGAGATTTTGAAGAAGAAGTACGACAACAAAGCTTAAAAGCAAGTAAATCGACGGGATCTCTTAATGATACAATCTGGAAGAATAAACACGTAAGACAAGACACAAAAACAAGAATCTAAAACATAAGAAGAGCATGCAATATAGAAGACATAAATGAATGGGTGACAAAACGGAAACAGGAGTGAAACGAACACATTAGTAGAATGGCAAAGCATAGGATAGTACGAATAGCACGAGATAAGTCACCAAATGGACAAAGATGTATTGGCAGAGCAATAAAAAGATGGTGCGATAATTTTAAACAATTCAGAAGGTCAATCTTAAAAAATAAACTGTCTTTAAAGGCTACATACGAAAAAGAAGAAGAAGAAGAAGTGCATCAGATT